CCCTGATATAGTATTTTTTTAATATATATATATATATATATATTAACTTTAGTTCACAATTATTTTTTGTCCTAATGCTTTTGTATGTTTAGGGCGAGTTCGATTGTTTTTTCTTAGTAAACAGTCTGGATCAATGTAAGGTCACAGTAGGGAAAGTGTATAATATATCAGGAGAAACTACTATACATAGTTTGCTAATGCCTGCAGATCACATGTGAAGGTTAATCAATAAATCCCTTGATGCCAACTATCCGTTGACTATGCCCATAATTGATGCAGCGACTATAGGAGAAGTGGCAGGCTCCTTTGTTGCATGGCCTAGGAGTCTCATATTGTTAGTAGACATAGAAGAAAAGATAAAAAAGGTATCATAGTTGGCATTATCTTGTACAAAGTATATATATAATTTCTTTTCATCCATAACTAATAATATTGGTTCATAATCTAAGGGACAAGACCGTCTTAAAAGTTTGGCACATGAATTTAAGGTTTTTGGACTACCCTCGACAAGTGTGTCGCAATTGTCAACGAGATGGTGAGATGCACTTGAAGCATATGCTCGTGTTTAGGATTAAAAATCCTATGATGTGGCTCCTATTTAATCACACATGTACAATAGAGATTCAAGGAGATATGCTCAGGATCAAAGTAATCGATGAAGTTCTTAAGCATGGGGAGATTAGCCAAACCATCATTCATTGTCATATGAGGTACTTATTTTTCACATGACTAATTTCTATTTTATAACAAATATATTGACATATTTGCTTTCTTTATTTAGGTATCTTTATGAAAATTTCATTGTCCTCACCAACCTTGCCTCAAAGTTTATCTTTATATGTCCTTATGACATTGCTACTCATCACAACCAATCTACCAAGAGTTGTGAAGCTTAATCAATTGCTTTATCCAAGTATTTTAAGGCTAGGAACAATAACCCTTCAAAGGAACTGTTATTCTTGACACCTTACATGCAAGGGTGAGAATTTATTACTTGAACTTGTCAAATTAATTTCGCTTCAAGAATTTCATTTTATAACATTTTTAAATTCTCTTAGGAGCCATTGGATGTTAATTTCCATCCAACTGGTTGGTAATGCCTAAGGTTTTACTACTTGAATTTTGCTGGAGGGCTACCAAGTATCGACAAGATATGATGGAGATGTTTAATATGTTAGCTTCTTAATTAGCTTATATATTTTTTATTACTTCAAATTTCTAAACATTAATATTTTTTGTTTGTTTATGAGGGCTGTGGTGTTGTGTCACACCCAAATGTAGCTTAGCATTCTAAGAGGTAAGAAATATCATTAGCCTTATAGTTGGAACATAATTAAGGTATTGCCTTTGAATATTGTCTTCATTATATGTTTATTTGTTCTAATTCATTAACATATTTTTATTGGTCTTTTAAGTGCCCTTGAAAAAAGGATAATAGCCTAGACTGTAGATATTGTGTTATGAGGTATCTTAAAGACATCATTACTGACCAGCTTTTTTAAGTGCCCTTGAAAAAAGGATAACAGCCTAGACTGTAGATATTGCGTTATGAGGTATCTTAAAGACATCATCACTGACCAGCTTTTTTAAGTGCCCTTGAAAAAAGGATAATAGCCTAGACGGTAGATATTGCGTTATGAGGTATCTTAAAGACATCATCACTGACCAATAGAAAAAAGGATAATAACCTAGACTGTAGATATTGCATTATGAGACATTATCACTAACTAGCAGACTATCATTCCTTTGACTCTCTCTCTCTCTCTCTGTACGTGCGTGCATGTGTGTGTGTGATTCAAATTCTACTATTTTACAATATTAAAAATCTATCAACTAACTTTTCTTTGGTTATTTATAATGTAGTACTACCCAGACACATATTGTGAAGTATTTGGAAATATGAGCATCCATAAAGTTATCAAGGAGTGGTAATATTCATTACAATTGCTAGCTTAAAATGCAACAAATTCATAGGGGTAACTTCTTCTTAGATATTAGAGGATTTAAAAAAATGGTATATGAAAATATATTGGTTAATTTGAACATATTTTCAATTGATTAGTTTTAATTTATGTATTAGAAGTATTTTAGACTAGATTCTGGTTGCATTTATTCTGGTTTGTAATGCAAGGGGCTATGAAATATGCAACCCCCAAATACAAAAAAAAAAATGATGGTCATATTTGATGATTCTTACCATAACCGTCAAACATGTATAAGAATATTTCACGGTTGTTATTTGACGGTTCCTTAATCATCAAATATTGTCGTGTGTTATATATGATGAGGGCTTACTTGATAGTTGTTAATCGTCAAATACGATTGAAAATAACCATCATATATAACCAAATCTGTAGTAGTGGTTACTAGAATAAAATGAAGTGAAATAAATTAAAAAAATAAAAATAAAATAAATTTTTACTTGAAATGAATGCTTACATTTAGTATTTGACTGTTTCTCAACCAAAATATTGCCTCCATTGAGGAAAATAGGAGACTACATGTATGCACTATCAACATCATGATTATGCATGAAACCTCCTATTTTAAGTAATAAAAATATTAAAATTTATAAATTCTTAATTTAAATTATACGATCTCATATTATACATGTATAAAAATACTCTCTTTGTCAAAAATATAATTTAAAAATATAGATACACATACATTACATAAATCAAATTATTGTCAAAGTCCAAATTAAATCAAACAACTGTTTAAAGTTCAAACAAAGAAGTCACTATCTAAAATTAAACAAACCAAATCATTAAGCAAAGTTAATTTTAAAAAATACAGTAGTAATTAAATATTTGAAGCATTATCAATAATGTCAAAAATATTATTAACATTAGCATAATTAATAATATTTAACACATAAATAAATAAAAGTGTTTAAATGAACTAGCCCTTGACCCTACTGTTTAGACCCTTGGCCTATTATGACTGACTTTTATGACTTTTTTTTCTAGTTTGAAACTCTAAATCTTGTATCCAGCACTAGCAATTGTTAGGTTTAAATGAGTTAGCCCTACAAACTCAACTCATTTTACTTACTATACTTACTGCTCCTAATGTCCTAATTCAAATTTTATCCTCAACCTTTACATCTTTCTAAATTGTAGAGATCTTTTTCATTGACTTGATAAGTCTTATTGGAAAACTAATAGGAGTAATACTTAATAACTTTCCACTGGAATTTTTTGAATGAATCCAAATAATCAGCATACTCACATGTTTTTCCATGAAAGTGTCATGAAGCTGCCTTATTATATTCAAAATGCGAAATGTGGGGGGAAAAAAATCCTTTTGATGTATTCTTAATTTTCACAACCATGTATTGAAATTCTCGTTCATCATCCTCAGGTTCTTTGAACAATGACGAATTCAAAACAATTCTTTTAGTCTATTCTTGTTGAATTTCTTTTATCATAATAATTAATTAATGCATATAATTATTAGTGGCCGGCATAAACCTGAACATACCTTTATTAGTTTCTGCATTTTGGTCATGCTTTAAGAAAACATAGTTGTTAGGGTTTTTCCTGGTTATTGAGACCATGAAAAAACAAAAGTAGGTTGTTGAATCAATTTAGTCTCTCAAAACATAATGAAGACAAAGACCAGAATATCCATATTATGTTTGTGTAGATAATATTCTTATCATGTGGTTAGTTAATTAGTCTATTATTTAAAAAAACAACTTGAGAAATTAATGGATTATTACATATGATTTAAAGTTTAATAGTTATCTGCTCGCAAAACTAATTTATTTTAGGGAATAAACGATTTTTTTATAAGGCCATATGAATTTTCTTTTCTTTTCTTTTTTAGGGGTGGCGATGAATGAATTAAATTTAGGCAAAGAAATTTTCTTCTAGGCTTGTGAGTGGAGGAAATTACTCCCACTATCATACAAAAATAATGTCAGAATTCCATTCAAATTTTCAATTATACCGTATGTAATTTTAAATCAAATTCTAATTCATTTTGCAATTTCAATTTCTTTTCCGTTTTCATTAAAATTCTTTTTAATTAATAAATTAAACGAGGCCTCAATTTTATTTTTGGAGAAATGCTTGAAAACTGTATTGGAAATAAAACTTCGTGTATAATGAATACGTTGAAAATACAAACAGAGAAAATGGTGAGACTCGTGTCTCATAAAGTCTCCATGTCACCCTCACAATCTCTCCTTTGGAGGAATGCTTGGAAATTCTATTATGGAAGAAATCATGCAAAGTCATAATATTAGAGATCAAGTTAACCCAATATTTGAACTAGTAAACTGTTAAATCAATGTCTGAATTAATTTAATATAAGACCAAATCAATGTTTAAAAAATCAAAATATAAAATCACAGATCTCTAACATTCTTAATAATTCATTTCAAGTTCAATTAATCAGAGAATTAAATTGACTTCACTATGCTCATGGAAAAAAAAGTAATGACTGCACAATCCATTATTGTTCACTTTAAAAACATTTGACAAATTGTCTTGACAACGCAATTTTAAAATTACTTTGGCACCTGTAGTTAAAACTGCAAACTCCATTGAGTAAAAATTAGTGAAGTATCTTAAAAAATCTGAGAAAAGAAAACTACTTGAGAGTAAAAATTAATGGTTGAAGTGATCGTAATTCATCAATACTTTATCTGTTTAAGAATATAAGGTATTTTTAATCAAATCTTACCTTTCAATAAAGTGGTTATTTGTCTTTAGATTAACCTTATCTTTTTATATTCACCCTATTTAATAAGATGTTTTACCCTAAGTAAATATAAAGTAATTTTTTTAATAAAGAAATTTTTTAAAAAAAGGACAATGATTACGCCTTGAAAGATTAAAAATACCTTGCTTTTTTTACTATTCAATCCCTTAAAAATGCTTTATATTTTTTAATGGAGAGAGTATTTTTTATATTTTTATATTCAATATAGTATTTTCACAAAAGTTGAGAAGACTCAATCTGCTAGGAGGGTTATCCCTGCATGTGTTTGGATAGGTCCAAGGCAGTGCATTTTAAATTGTTATGCTTTGTTCACTAAGGCTAGTTCTACATCTCAATTACAGGATCCATTTGCACGAGCCAAGAACTGGGTTCTAGAATTTCAAAAGCAAGGTATATGGTAATTGCCATGAAGATTTCTTGTGATTTATGTCTCTCTTTATCATAAAAAAGGAGAAAATTTCTTATTCTTGGTCCTTTCTTTATATTATGGATATAATATAATGCTATACTATTGTGTGGAGATATGAAGGTGGTAGATTGCAAAATGAAAATCAGAAAATTGATGTTTCATATCCCTTGTACTGGTAGCATTTGAATTCTAACTGTCTGTACTAATGAACAGAGCAATCTTGTTTATAATTCGCATCCTTTTAATATCTTTTTTTGGGGAATGGTTATTTTGTTTTTGCTGGAATTAACTGTCAAGATAAAACTCTGTCATTTCGTTTGGGAATAGAAAAGCATGAAAGTCCATATAAACAAATATCAGTAGCTATTGGTTTTCACACAAATATAAATTGCCTTCCAGAGGGAAAATGTGGGAGACTTTCAGAGTAGATTGCCAGATTCCCAAATCACACACTCATTTTGATGTGTTTTACAGGGAATCCTAACATGGTTGTGGCTCTTGCTGGTAACAAAGCTGACCTGGAAGATAAGAGGAAAGTGACAGCTGAAGTGAGTTTTGTTACATATTCAAATTTTCTTATTACGGCATGTAAGCTTTTAACATCTAAATTCTTGAACTTTGCAACTTTGCTAAAACTATATTTTTTGTCCTCACCTAATAGAATAAGGTTTGTTGTTGTTGTTTTGGTAAAGTTGTATTTTGTTTCCTCTAAAGATTTAAATTTGAAATCTGGTTTAAATGACAAAGAGGAATTTTGCGCCATGTTATTATTATGTTTTATTTTTTGGGTTTTGTCATCCATCTGAGTATTGCAGCTGATGTGTTACTTTGATCATTTTTGGCATTTGAGTTGTCAAATAAATTTCCTATAGCCCCTGGCTTAACACATTTGGAATTTTTTTGGGTCCTGGCTGTTAACTATTCTGAGCTAGGAAGCATGGGTACTTGCATAGACACAGCATCATTCAAAAGGATACAATGACATGACAAAATCTGAAGTGCCTATATGTAGTTTAAGCTGTTTTGTTGTGTCTAATATGAGTGCTTGGCAGGTTTCAGACAGACAACTCTTGATTTAAAGTGTAGTGCTACATTTGTTTTAAGCTTCTTGAGGGATAGCTCTAGATGTTGGCTCTGAATATGCTGGGAATTTGGATTGTCTGATGTGCAGTCCTGACGATCAATTCTTTTCTTTCCTTTTCCCTTTTCCCTTTTTTTGTTTTTGATGTTTTTTTTTTTGGCCATCCTTTCTTTTTCCCTTTTAGTTTTGAAAGAAACAAAAAATAAACTAAAGAAAGCCTTCTAACTTTCTCCAGATAGACAAGTAACTAGATGTCTGTTCAGTGAAACTGTCTTTATCCTGCTTTTCATTTCTTTTCAAAATAAGGGAAAAGATGTATGGTCAAAATTCAGCCAAAAAAAAAATGCAGAGCCAATATCCTACATGTTTGCATGCCACAACAGACGTCCTTCCCTATCAATTCTGTTGACAGTCAGCTTGTTGGAGTTATATTTGGTCTTACAACATAATAAACACAACTAAATAAACTCTAACCCTATTCCTTTTAATCAACTGATTTTGCCTTAATCAAAATTTCGGTAATTGGACTTTAAATTTAGTTTTGTTGCCTGCAGATTCTGGTCTAGAATAATTAATAGTCTATACCTATGTCTACTAGAAAACTAGCTTTAATTTGTCAAATGGGTTTCCCCATGAATAAAATTTGGCGAAACATTTTGAATTATTTTTCATGATTCATGGACACATTTCCTGCATTTCAGCTTTGTTTCTAGCTAAGAAACTCCTTTGATGTCCCTTTTGCAAGTGCAATTTTGGTAATCTGTTTGCCATTGAAGGTTTATGCATAGTGAATCTGACATGAACTTGTTGGGTAGTTGTGTCTTTTTCATAAACTTGTGCTGTGCTAATTCCTAAAGCATCCATTCTCGATGGCAAAGGTTCTTTAATTTGAAATATTATAAGGTGCTTTGCTCTTCCATGATTGATAAATTGTGGATCTTTATACAATATATTTTCAAATTTTGTGTGCAAAATACAATTCCTTGAAGCACCAACATACAAGTTTTATCTCGTTGGCATTGCAGGAGGCACGAACATATGCTGAAGAAAATAATCTATTTTTCATGGAAACATCTGCCAAAACTGCAATCAATGTAAACGACATGTTTTATGAAATAGGTGGGACCCATTTTCTATGTTGAATACTCTTTGTGCTGCTTGATGATGATTATGAACTGTCCTATTTTAATCATTTTCTTCCCTACTTTATTTCTTTAATTAAATAGCTTTGGTATAACAGAACCTCAATTCAAAGAGATGAAACTTTCTTTTAGAGGAAGAACCTTGGTCCCCCACACTTCTGCTGGGCAAGATTTTGTGATTATATTTGCAAGTTATTCGAATTTAAATTAGCATTTTATGGTATTAGTTCTGGGACTTGAAAGTAATTATCAGAACCCAATCACATGATCGGACATTTAGCAATGAATCTCGGGTTCAATTTATTTAAAACACTGCTTTGCTTAGTACTCCCTCAAGTCCCATATGCTAGTCACTGATTAGAAGAAATTGATGGTTTTTTTTTTGGTAACTTGTTTTGCATAAAAGGCGGATCATTAATTAATTGCTTTCAATTTTATCCTCTTACAATTTTCTATGAGCAAAGTAAAATGTTACATATGAGAGAGAAAGTGCTTTTAAAGATTTTGCATTTGGTAAAGATAAATTGAGGAATTTCTTTCTTCTCTCTGTTTTTTTTTTCAAGACAACAATAATAATTTACCTCTCTCTCCTTGATTCCGATGAAATAGTTAGAAGTGACTTGTATATAGGGTTGGAGGGAATAATGTTTTGGCTCCTCGTTGGCACAAACTTTTACTTGTTCCTTGACACATTTCTTATTATAATGTATTTGAATGGTTTAGTTGGCTTAACATGTCTACCGGTTTCCAATGACATGAAATCACATTTATTATATCTTGGTTTGGAGTTCGTCTTCTAAAGCATGCGAATTGCTTCTGATAAACTGTGTTGCTTGACTGGCAATTTGGTTGTGTAAACAGCAAAGAGGTTACCGAGGGCTCAGCCTGCTCCAAACCGGGCAGGGATGGTGCTTGTGGACAGACCTGCAGAAGGATCCAGAACTGCTGCATCTTGTTGTTCCTAAAGCATTGGTGTTGTGATTCTTCTTCCTTTAACTTAGCATCTTCTGTGTTTTCTGTGGCTTGTCTTTTGCACTTCAGTGGCACACTCTTAGTTGTAGCTCCCTCAAGTAGTAGTATGGGCAGTGTATATATAATACACACGCGCCTTGGAATTGAAAACTTTTGGTGGCTTGATTTGTTCAATACATGGGGTGGATGGAATCCATGAAACTCTCAGCTCTCTCGCATCAAAACATGTGTGAATAACTTCAATCTTTTTATTAGCTGCAAGCTGTTTGAATTTTAATTTATCATATTATTCTTGACTAGTCATTGGATAATTTCTTCGTTGATTTTACGGTTTTCAACTAATTATTATTATTTATTTTTTTGGTTAAAAAGTCTACATATATAAACATATAAAATGATTATTTCAGACCAGAAAGGCTTAGAGCAATGAATCTGAAAGCCCAACCTGAAAGTATTACGAACAAGGACCAACAAAAAACATAACTTGAAAAACTGAAACCAAATAAACCTGAAACTGATAAGAACAGCTATTCCTTGGTTAGATATGCGCAAGCCAGGTTCATGCAAATAAGTTGAAGAAATAAAAATAAAAAAGGTGGCTATGAGGAGGAAATAAGTAACCAACCCAAAGGTCGGAGCAAGGCATCACAAAGATCTCTTAAAAGAGATCAAGATGCATGAAAAGATCCCTTAGGATTTGAAACACCAAAGCCCATAAAAAAGCTTTGGATTTGTTTTTTTAAAATATACGCTTTTTGAAAGATCAGGGTGGATAGTACTATTATAATAAAAAATAATATTTATTTTTTTTTAATAATTCGACATACTCTATCCGGTTTCTTTTATAAGCATCTGTTGACTACTTTACTTGTAGTAAGGGAAGTGTCAAAAACTTTTATATTTTTTTCCCAATTGCACTTAATCATGCTAGATAAAAAATGAGAACTTTTTTCTCAGCATTGGGAGATGGGTCGAGTTGCAATTTTGTATATGACTTATAAATGTTACATTAAATTTTGGAACTAGTTGTGTATTGAAGACCGATAAGGGTGGTCTTACAAATAAAACTGGTGAGAATATATGACTAAACTTGAAATACTTTTACATACACACTATGTTTTGACTGGAAAATTTAATGAAGACCGTCCGTTTACTTGTAATGCACTGTGCTTGATCTAGTTGTTATAATTTGATCATTATCTAATGATGTTCAAATTAATAAACCATCTCCATAAAATCATGCTTTTGTTGAATCTTTATATCTCAATTCATATAAATGAATAAAGTGATATATGCGTACCTGAAAAATTTATAAGTGCTATATTAATTAATGTTAATCCATAATTAAATAAATATTCCAACAATCTCCCATTTGGATTGCATTAATTAAGCAAGTTGTATAAACAAGCCACAAACAAGATTCAGAAAATGAAACTCCACAAAATCACTAGATTCTATAGGGAAACAAGTGATATGGCATCTCATAATCTGAATAAAATATGAAATTTTTATTCCAAATGGGGAAACAAGTGACATGCATAGCATATCACAACAGAATCATTGAATCCTATGGGGATACAAATGATATAGATGCATCTAACTAAACTGAACATAACTCAGAAGAAAAACAAAGCCTAAAGAGAAATTGCAACATAAAAGGTTCTCAAAAACTCCCACTAGACCAGGGCATTAAATGAATTCACAATACCCATACAAGTGACATAATTTTGAAAAACTTCTACAGGTAGGCCCTTAGTCAGTAGATCTGCAAGCATCTATGTGCCAGAAATGTATATCACACGGGTCTGAGACTCATCAATTTTCTCTTTCACAAACATGAGTTTGATATCAAAATGCTTTGTAACTGGAATTTTTGTGATTGTTAGCATAGTATACTGCAGATTTGTTATCACAGTAAATGGTTAGAGGACGTGATATTGACTCAACTAGGTGCATGCCAGATATCAACTTCCTCAGCCATATAGCGTGACGTGTAGTCTCAAAGCATGCAATATACTTAACTTCCATAGATGAAACTGCCATAAGTGTCTGTTTTACACTCTTCTAAGAGACAGCTCCTCCAGACAATATAAAAATATAGCCAGTCGTGGATTTACGATCATCCAGACAAGAGGCAAAATTTGAATCTGAAAAGCCAACAATCTCAAGATCTTCTGATCCCTTAAAGTCATAATCAGAATACCTAACAACCTCAAGAGAATTTGACCTTTTATAAGTCAACATATGATTCTTTGTACCTTGAAGATACCTCATAACTTTCTTAGTAGCCTTTCAATAATTTAGACCTGGATCATTTAAGTATCGACCCAGCACTCCAATGGCAAAGGCTATATCTGGTCGAGTACACACTTGAACATACATAAGGCTGTCGACAGCGGAAGCGTATGGTATATTTCTCATTTCAGCCCTCTTCTTATCATCCTTGGGGCACTGTAACTCTGATAACAGCTCACCTTTCTGTACAGGACCAGGTGAAGGAGAACATGAATCCATTCTGAATCTCTTAAGTACCCGCTCAATATAAGTGGTCTGTGATAAACCAAGAATACCACGAGATCTATCACGATAAATTTGTATCCCAAGAATAAAGGAGGCTTCACCCATGTCCTTTATGTCAAAATGGCAAGACAATAGGTGTTTTATCTCATTGAGAAAATTCATTGAATTGCTGCCTAACAATATATCATCAACATAGAAAATAAGAATGGCAAAATTGTTCCCATCAAACTTCTGATAGATACACTAATCTGAGACATTCTCAGCAAAACCAAGCGAGGTGATAACTTCATCAAACTTCAGATACCACTGTCTAGAGGCCTGTTTTAGCCCGTAGATGGATCTCTTTAATCTGCACACTAGATGTTCTTTACCAGATTCAACAAAACCATTAGGTTGTGTCATGTAGACTTCTTCATATAAATTGTCATTCAAGAACGCAGTCTTGACATCTATCTGGTGAAGATCAAGATCAAGTTGTGCAACTAAAAGCCATTACCACTCTAAAAGCATCTTTGGTGGATACCGGAGAGAAGGTTTCTGTGTAATCAATACCTTCTTTCTGGTTGTAGCTCTTAGCTACAAGTCTGGCTTTATATCTATCAATTTCACCTCTAGCTCCTCGTTTTGTTTTAAAGATCTACTTACAACCCACTGGTTTAAAACCCTTTGATAGCTCTACAAGCTCCCATATGTGATTGTAGTACATAGAGGCAATTTCTTTACTCATAGCCTCCAACTATTCAGAAGAATGCAAGCTAGAAATAGCCTCTTAGTAAGATATTGGGTCTAAACTATCAGTAGCATCTGAATCAAATTTCTGCAAATACACCATGTAATCATTTGGAATAGCAAACCTGCGAACTCTTTGGGACCGTCTTGATTCAATAACCAGATCCCTATCACCCTCTAAAGGTGGTTCATCTTGAGCTTCATCCTGATCCACGGCATTATTTCTATCAACATGAGGGTTTGTAAAGATAGGCATAGGCAAAATGCTACTTTTATCATGTAAAGTAATATGTCTAGGCACAGAGCTCCCACTGTCTAAGGCATCTTCAAAGAAATAAGCTTGGTCAGATTCAATTACCCTAGTAGTGTGATTTGGACAATAGAATCTGTACCCACGAGATCTGATGCAATAGTCAATGAAGAAACCATCAACAGTTTTAGCATCAAGCTTCATCTGTTGTGGATTGTAAGGTTTTACCTATGCTTTACAACCCTAAACTCGCATATGCTTCAGCACAGGAGTCCTTCCAAAATACAACTCATATGGAGTCTTTGGAACTGACTTGCTAGGAACTTGATTCAAAATATAAACAGCAGTTTTAAGTGTATCATCCCATAAAAATTTCGGTAGTAAAGAGTAACTGATCATGCTTCTAACCATATTTATGAGAGTATGATTTTGCCTTTCTGTAACCCCATTCTGCTGTAGGGTCCCAAGCATAGTATACTAAGCTTAAATGCCATGCTCTTGAAGGTACAAAGCAAATGGCCCAGGGTTCCTACCAGTCTCAGTATATCTCCCATAAAATTCTCTTCCTCTATCAGATATCACACACTTAATCAACTTGTCAAATTTTAATTCGAGTGCTGCTTTAAAGGTCTTGAATGCATTAAGAGACTTGCCCTTTTCACACAAGAGTTCAATCCATCCATGACGAGAGTAATCATCTATGAAGGTGATGAAATATCTGAAACCACCCATAGCCAGAGGTGTGATAAGTCCACAAATATCAGTATGGATTAGGTATAAAGTGTTTTCAGACCTCTTTGCCCCTTTTTTCTAGCTCTAGTAGGAAATTTTCCCTTTATACAGTCAACACAAGTCTCAAAATCTGAGAAATCAAGGTCTTGTAAGACACCTTGTTTGGTCATATGCTTCAATCTTTCTCTAGAGATATGACCCAAACGACAATGCCATAACATAGAGGAATTATTATTGGGCCTTTAACGTTTATGCCCAATAGCAGCATTGATATGGAGATTAGGAAGTTCAAGTGACCAATCATTCAATCAATATAAACCATATATTAAGGAAGCGACACCAATATTAATGGAATCAAAACAAATGTCAATTTTTTCATTTCCTTGGAAGAATGAATAGCCACAAATATCCAATACAGAAGTTGAAATTAAATTTCTCTTCACAGAAGGTACATAAATAACATTGTTCAAATGTAAAATATGACCAGAATTTAAATACAACGAAATAGTTCTAATGCATTCAACTGATGCCTTGCTCCCTACTATGCCAAAGACTAACTTCTGTGCCTCACTTGGAACCTTCTAGTTTCTTAGCCCTTATAGAGAATTCACAACATATACAGTGACACTAGAATCCAGCCACCATGAGTCAAAGAAAGTTTCAATGGTGTTAGATTCAAAATAGACTAGAGCTAGAGGGGCAATTTGAAGAATTGTACCTTCATTTTCTTATTTATTCTTCAATTTGAAGCAATTAGCTTTAATGTGACCCGGTTTCTTGCAATAATTGCATAACCCCTTAAAGGGTTTCTTCCTCAACTTCTCGCTCTTATCACCATCCTTCTTAAAGGTTGGATTATTAGGCTTTAGGGCATCATGCTTCTTCTCCCTTTTCTTATATGACTCTCCAGATTTACTGTTAGAGCCATGAGAAACATAGTTTATTGAGTGAGAGGAATTCTTCTTTATAGCTTCCTCTTCTTGAGTGACTATCAATATCATCTGGTCAACAAACCATTCAGCTTCTTGTGAGTTGTATGAAGTCCTCAAGAATGCATACTTTGATGGCAGTG